AAACACACAATCCTCGGTGGGCGCTGTTTCCACGTCCCACGCCCTCGGGCCGAGGTTGTTGAGCATCGAGACTTGGTCACGGCCCAGTGTGGACCGCTAGTCGGGGGCGCACCCCGGGTGCGCCATCACCTCCGTCAGGAATAGTAGCGTGACTTCAGGGTTGCAGCGCGCCGCCGTCACCCCCATGATGCTGTATCTGCTCTCTCCGTCTCCCGCATCCTTGACAACATATATGGTGAGAATCTGCAGCTCACGCATCATCTTCAAGTTCAAACGGTGCGCGAACTTTCCCGCGTGAGGCGACGCCGAGCAGTTATACACTGAGCACTTAAAGACTTTTACTCTAAACCCCGACGTGTCCTCTGAATTAACCACGTACACCAGCGCTTGCTTGTCCTCGTTCAGCATCTCCGTCACCTGAGCTGGTACGTCGCCGTGCCTGAATGGATGTATCACTCCCCTAGGTCTTATATGGACAGCAACTAGAATAGCTCTGCAGCTCAGGTACATTTCGCGAGATGCAGGAATAACCATCCTTACCTCCATGCCGCGTCTCACAGGCTTGCAGGATTCTGATCGGCTGCGTAGCTGCGGCTTAAAACCCTTAAAAATCCTCTCTTCTCTCCATACCTCTTTCTCCATACTGCAAATCAGATGCGTCCACGGGGCAGGTCGGACACGCCACGACGGTCCTGTGTCCTTCGTCCGCAGCCCGCGACTGGTCCTCGTACTGTTTGAGAATGGATCCGCACAACGTAAAGGCCTTCATCGTCGCAGTGCAGGGCTCAACAACGGTTGCGCCTAATGCATACGAGTTTTAAACTAGAGCATAGTGTGAAAACACAGCGCTAGACATGAGTACAGCGAACACGCAAGGAGAGGATGTGACTAGATAAGCGATAGAGCAGCAGCTTGAGGCGGGCACGAGCAACGTCATCTATGTGTTGGGGGAGTTGATCTGCTCGATGAAGAAGAGAGCGTCTGACAGAGTAAGCGATCTAGACACTATGTTTAAATACGTTGCCATCCTCAAAGCTACTTCTACTTCAAGTGAGAACACAGGAGGATGGACGGATGTTTCGCCCACGCGCGGCGGAAGTGTGACGTCGCTAAGACCTGCGTCCGCCCTCCGCCCAAGTGGCGAAGAACGATAGGCTCAGCTGCATGGTTGTATCGCGTGATAGTGAACCCCAGCAGAGAGCGAGCCAGAAAGAGGAGCTTTCTAGAGCGCTCAGGCAAACGCACGCAGTCCGAAGACGCGACAATGGGAGAGAGGGACCTATGGTGTGTGGACATGTCCCCTCTGTCCAACCACACTTGGTGGATCATCTTTGAGATATCCTCCTTTACGCCAGAGTCACGAGCAAATGAGCTCGTCCTTGGCGCGCTCGAGTACAGTCCGCAGCGCTCGTCGTCTCCCACCAACCTCACAGATACACGCTCTTCGAAGGTCGCACTAGGGCTGGTCTCGACGCTGAACCCTATTGCAGAGTATGCCGTGACCCATGCCCGGTCGGACGAGTCTGTGGCGGAAATGCACGTACGTATCTCTCAGAAGTCCCCAATCCTTTGGGGACTTTTCACCTATCCCACAGCCAGCGACGCCACAACAGGTGGCTGATTACCTCAGATGTCCCCATCGCATTAGAGACTTTCTCAGATTGCATAAGATGTCCCCAGCGACAACTGGGTGGTGCCTCAGGTGTTACACTTTCTAGTCCAGAAAACGGACGCGCTCAACGCATTAGACCTTTCGCAACTCTACGTATGTTCGAGCTGGGCAAGAACTCTGCCACTGTTCCGTTGTGCACATCGCCTACATTGAGGCGCTCCGCTATCTCGTCTGCGAGCTCGCTTGGGATAGTGCATAATCTGGACATCTTTGGGATGACACGCGCGGTCTATAGCCGCACAACGTTTTGAAACTTTATTCCACGTCACGATCGGGTCGCAGGGTCCACACTAGCCAAAACATGTCTTCTACGGACATCCACTGACGGGACAGCGTGGCGGGGAGCTTGGCGAGGCGCAGTTGCAGAGCGCGCTTCTGTCCTACAGCTTTGCTTAGCACAATGCTGTGTTTTGCTTGAACGTTTGAGCATTGCGACCATAAATTCTTGAAGAAAGACTACCCTGAACGTCTGGAGGTTTGCACCACGTAGCAGCTTTTACTACCTCTAAATTAACTCTTCATCCTACATAGTGGAGAGAACTAGATCTCTGTGGTATGCCTGCACCTCCCCCAGAAGGGGGTTAATCAAGCCTGTGTGGGTGAAGTCAACGAAAACTGAGTCCTTGTCTCGCACTTGTATGAGCACTGTTCTCCCGTTTATTGCCTCTAGTCTTCTGGAGTAATCGCCGCGTTCTATTCCTCTTGCGTCTGTGGTCCTATTGATGGACTCGACCCCACCCGAGGCAGCCGTCCTGCTTACGTACGAGCGCAGCTCTACAGCACAGCTCGCCGTTATTACACAAGCAGAGGTGTAGTTGTGATTCACGAGAGATTCTGATAGGGGCAGGTAGATTTGAGTTTTCACAAGGCTATAGACCTCGGCGACGTCTATTACAGACTTGAAGCTAAAGATACCTACGTCTAAGTAGCGCTCTGTCATGCCCCTGTTGGCTAAGGTCCTTCTCATTATGTACATTGAGCTTTCTCCTCCCACGCAACAAAATGTGGCCCTTCGAGCGATGCGGTCCCGGGAGGAGTCTACTTGAGGGTTGGAAAACTCGTCGACGATGGGGGTCCACGGCTGGATCACAGCTAGCCATCCCTAAGTCATGGCCCACAAGAAAGGAATTGAGAAGATGATTACTGCTCTTTGCACTACGTCCAAGAGCCAGCTACCTTGTCTCAAGGTTATTGCTCTAGGTACCAAATACGGAAAGCCCAGGCAGTGGACAAAAGATACGCGCAAGCTACTGGCTGGAACAGATGTCAAGCTCAAGCTGGTGACTGGGAATCATACAGGTGACCAGCAGGAATGAGTTCTAGTATGTCTGTTGAGTTGCCACACACTTTTCTCAGCACGTTTAGGGGGTCCACCCTCTGTCTTAGCAAACTGTGGCAGTCGAGTTCGGGGTGGCTCTTGCACAGACTCGTGGGCTCGGGAAGCGACTCTGTGGGAGTCCTTGCGAGGACCGCAGCAACGTGGGTGGCATGCTCCATCGTAGCACAGCAATCGGAGCAGATTGCGGTAGTGCGGACGGCGGCCATTGCCGTTTGAACATTCTTCTCGACCGGCTTAGTTCGAGATGGGTCACACGCGTGGTAGATTCGAACGTTAAACAGAAGAACACTATTGGGATTCGGAGCTGCTCTGAGTTTCTGTAAGATGGAGGCAGTCTTCGCCTGAACTGATGAGCTGACAGTATGGGTAAATGCAGTCCAGCAGCCTTTTCACGGCCCAGATTGAGAACCGTACTACGGCTTTGTTGTCGTTTTCGGATTCCTCTACTCCTACAGTGATGTACACCTCATCCACGCACCTTGCTGTCACGCCGGTAGGGTGTGTGTCCATCTTGTCCGGCAGCCTCATGGGTGTTTGCTTTGAGAGTTATCTTTAAAGAGCACGCTAGCTTGCATAGCCTGAGGGCGTAAGGCGCGGACACAGGGGCGTCAGCTAGCTTATTAGCCCCATCCTCCTCAGTGGTGAAGATGTACTTTGAACCAGCATCAAACCAGGCCTGGCAGGTCATGTCACTCACGTGGCTTTCAATTGCCGCAGCGTAAAAGCACCCAAAAGCTGGCGTAGAGTCAGGAACTAGAATATACTGACAGTCGTCCTCTATGGACTTGATCTGTCCATCGAGGTGAGAAACACCCCCTACAGGCAATTGAATCTCAATGCCTCTGAACTTCAGCTCGGGGGCCACATTGTTCCAGTACTCCCTCAAGGAACCCGTGGAGTTCGTCAGCAGCTTTCCTTTCCGACGCGCGCAGGCTGAGTAGTCCAAGTGAGCAGCCAGAAAAGGAGTCACGAAGGCCTGGAAGCAGGTATTGGGCATTTCACACATGAGACTGTTGGTCTGCTTTGTCCTTTCCAGGTCAGCTTCACCGTCGTGTCGCCTGTGGTGCCAGTGTAGACGAGAGTCCTGCGTCCCGTGATGTCGGTCACTGTCGCAAGAACGTCAAACTCTTCCATGTCCATTGTCACTCCTTTCGACCTAAGCCAAGATACGAACACCGTGACATGGAGCTCGTTACCTGCGCAATGGAACGACCACGAGTTATTAGCAGAGCACACGGCACTTACGAACATGGCCGCAGCTCTCGGCCCCTCCAGCCAGCAATGGGTCATTCCCGTGATGTGGGAGTTTCGCTCCCGTTGCCAACGAAAGAGCTTATCTATCTGCTGACTCCTTTCTTCACTCTTGCAATGCCGTCAAAGTCGGCTCGCGGAAGTATTGTCCCTGTCTCTGCGCTACCATAATCTCCAATGTTAAGGTTCTCAGCCACCATCTGGGCGAGCTCAGGCAGGTCGAACGGGGTGCTGCTACTCATAGTGACGGTGGAGGGGGCGGCGCTTTGCCGCTACGTTTCAAGGAGCGTAGGCTACTATGTGAAAGGCGAAGGCCAGGGCATGTTCATTTTCGCTTCGTCAGGGTGGACGTACGAGGCCATTTCATTGCAGTCCACGACCTTGTCGGCCCACATCTACCGTGTGATAAACAGCGACGACGGAATCATTCTGCGCTCTCCTTCGCACGCACAACCGTCGAGCCAATCAGCCGGAGTCACGCTTTTAATCACGCTTCTAGATAGAGGGTCAGCACACTGGACGATGCTCCGAGGAGGGCCCGGGAACATGAGGTGTCGCACCACTGAGGGCGTCAGCCCTTCCAGGTAGCGGGAGGCTGAGGCCGCGGTGTCCTGTGTCCACCTTAGATGTTCCCTTTGCAAACTTTCCAGTGCAGGGTTCACCGCACCGCTGTGAACAAATGAAGTTAGACATGGGCTTTCAGTCTGCTCCCGGTGGTGAGGCGTGACGAGCCTCACTATGCAACCTCCAGTCAGAACGGGCCTCTCCCAGGAGCTCGTGTCAGACATAGTAGAATGCACCTGGTTTACGAACAGCCCCTGGTTTACAATCCAAGCGAACGAGCCGTCTCTGTGCGTGAACACACTCGGCCCAGGTTTGCTTTTCCCTGCGTACCCGGACTCCAAGTTCAGGGCTATGATACAGACAATCCGGCCGTTTCTCCTACGAGGTCCCGCCGAAGACGAAGAACTGCTAAGCTGGGTGCCCCTAGTCAGAGCCAGGCTTACCATCTCGGTAGCAGACAAGATCATCATGATCCACCGGCCGGTGCTATGTCGCTCCTTGTACATCCCCGAATTTCAACGGGCGCGCACCACGTGCATCTCCGCCGCGCTGACCATCCTGCAACAGGACGAAAAGATCACAGAGCGTGAGGGAACTATCTCCCTTTGGACGCATTCCGCTGTCTGCGTGACGGCAGCAGTGGTCATCGGCCTCGATTTATTGTACCAAGTAAATCATACCGACGGGCAAGCTCGCCGGTTGCGGCTCGAACTCATATGAGCCGCAGCCAGGCTCTGCATCCGAAAGTGTGATATTATAGCCGGGTGTGGGGCGGCCCTGATTGACGCGATTCTCGGCATGGAGGAGGGGATTGTCGTCAAGTTGATGCGGGCGGACCTCCGAGACGTCTTCGCGGGAAGGATGCAGCGCAACATCATCAGCGACGTGATTGCGAGCAACGAGATCACAGCCAGATTCTTGGCTGTGGATCCGGGAGACCCGAGCGGCATGTTGATTGCCTCCCCGCCCGGCGATTTCGATCCATCTCTGCAGACAGTGTGCGATAGCGGCACACCGAGCGAAGGTGCAGATAATATCCAAGCTTGGTTCCGCAACCTCTTCTTATTCAATTGCGAGACATCGTGAAATCTACAAGACTTATTGCTCATGCTTTTCCACCACTTGTACCACCGCCGACATGAGCTCCGACATGCGTTTCTCTCCCATCCAGCTGCCTTGGATGGAGTTCTCGGCGATGATGCTCCACTGGCCAACGCTGACACCGAAGGCCTCCTGAACGGCACAGCAGTTGTTGAGGATGTAGCCGCCGAACTATGCTGCATCGTCGATGTTTATGCTGAACCGGACACCTTCATCTAGGAACCTCTTGATAGATAGCTGGGCAACGTCGTTGACGACTTGCAGGCAAACATTGCTCAGTGGGCAGACCGTTAGCGGGATCTTCGCATCAATTAAACGGCGAAGCAGCTCCTCGTCTCCAAGCGGACTCCGTGCTCGGCGTGTAGGGAGTCTAATGCACCAGAAATATATGTTGGGTCGCCTTCCTCATCGCCGTGCGCGGTTCGTGGAACTCCGCGTTTCTCGCCCTCGAGGTACATATGAGTGAACAGCTCGGGGCGAAAGCTAATGCCGGACGAGTCTAAGCCAAAACCGCAGATGGCGCCCGAGTCATCGTCACCACCCAGGTGCCCACCGGCGATGGCGGACTTTAGCGTCTCAGCTGCGGAGGTAACGGGCAGGTAGCGCAAGAAGCACATGATGAGACGTCTATTGACACCCGGAATGGCGCTACGCGAGGACGCAGCCGGCCTTAAGCCTAGTTACGACGGTGTCAAACGGCACACCACGTAACGTGTGGCTCTGTGGATCGAAGAAGACTTTAGCATGCTGTACACCGTCTGCATGAGCTGTTACGAAATACTCGCAAGCTAGCATCTCGAAATCGTCTTGGGCGACGAGTACCCGCATGGCACGGTAATGGCATTGCAAGCAATCGTCAAGGTTGTCGAAGTGCTCATAACGCTTGCTCAGCGATTCGGGATACTCGTATGACGGATCGTCCGCCGGAGACGGAAGCGGAACCTTGCTCTTTGCAGAAAATATGAAGACAAGCGCCGGTGTTAAAAAGCCCTCAAGATGCATATGGTGCTCGCGTTTTGGCAGCTCGGCTAAGAATGGTGATTTGCACATTGCGAAAAGACGTCGGGGGTTTAGAAATACCTGTGGACTGAGGGGCAGGATTTTATCAGAGTTTCAAATGCGTATGGTTTCCCTCTGAAAGGGGTGATTTCTCTCGAGGAAAGTCCCTTCAAATAGTTTAACTTATAGCTTGTGGCGAAACCCTATGTGACGAGATGGAACTGGGCAGAGATTAACGGTTTCCATGCTACCCGCCGTCGTGCGTTAGAAGTCTAGTCACTGGAAACAAAGCCTGAACGCAATTTGCTTCACTGTCTTCTAGGCCACCGGAGCCATAAATTTGGAGTGTATTTCCGTCAGATGTCAGGTCCTTTCCATGGCTCACCCAAGTTTGGGTGAGATGAGAACACAGCCAAGGAGCCGGCCGCATTCGCATGGCTGGGTCCGTACCGCTGGCTGTGGACGGTGAACCAAACATACACTCTGCCACGGAGAGATTACCGCCTTTGACTAGAAAAGAAAAGGAATTACTGTAGGCGCATTATTGCACTTTCAGGGCGGCTAGAGCAATATTTAAAGCGGCGGAAATAGTCTATCTTGTAAATCTACCTGACTCAACCCGTGTTGATTAGCGGTGCCCCTAAAGAAACTTGCGATCCCAACTCGCGAAACTGATTGAGATGGCTTGGCGACCTGGCAGCAGAGCGGCTGGCTCCGATGGCAGCGGCACCGCCGGCTTTGGCGAGAGTGTTGAAACGACGCTGCTGTTACGAGATGTCCCAGGAAACGACGAGCGAAGCGAAGAGGATGATTGGAAAAAGCCTGTAGGGCTTTTTCTGATTGAGCTATCTATGGTAATTGATGCATTCCTTTTTGCTCCCAACATTAAATCATGGTCCGCAGATGAGGAACTAGGACGGCAGACTGCCAACAGCGAATCCTCAAAATAGTCATTTTCTCCAATGTGTTCTTAGCGGGATTTAACGGAACCTTCACGGCCTCATCCTACGCACTGATCAGCTCCGAGTTTAAGCATTCCAACCTCGCCTTGTGGATTACGACATCGTGTCTATTGACCAGCACAGCGGTGCAGCCTCTCTGTGGACGTTTCTCTGACATATTTGGCCGCCGGGCCTGCCTTCTCGCTCGGCATCGTGGGGTTTACCAAGCCATCCAAAACAACCTACATGGTGGGGGAGCAATCTCAGGCGCCTTGCTCAGTAGCATCATTTCCAACGCTGTGGGCTGGCGGCTCTGCTTCCTAGCCCAAGTGCTACTTACCTAATTACCGGAGTTAACTGGCAGGGATTCCAAGGTTGCGTGAAGTGGCTTAATTAATCTAGCTATAAGCGCTAGGCGTAGCTAGCTATAAAGTAGTATAGCTAATCCCTTACGTAAAGGTGGGATTTAGGCTAGGATTTAGGCTTTAGGCTTAAGTTTAGCTAACTACTATCTTATACCCCCTTTTTAGCTAATACTTCTAGCGTTCTAAGTAAAGCTATTCTTATTCTAAAGTAGTAATCTAATTAATTATATAGTAGTTTTATATTATTCTTATTTCTATATATTATTCCTATTTTTCTATATTACTATTATTATTTTATCTTAATTTTAAAATACTTCTTAACTTTTTCTAGCTTTTATATAGCTAATTAATATTATAATTACTACTTAAGTTATCTCTATAAAAATAATTAAATAGTTACTTAATATAATTAGTATTATTTTCTATTTTTAACTTAAATTAAATTTTTAAATTAATAATTTAGAGATTTACTATTTAAAACCTTTTTATAAAATTAATTTTTAACTTAAATAAGTTTAAAAACTATTCTTTTTAGTTTAATTTTAGATTTTATATTCTAAATAGCTTTCTCTCTTTAAAAATAGTAATTTTTAAGTTATTAATTAGCTTTATAATACCTCTCTTCTAATTTACTAATTATATTAAGTTAAATATTAAATATAATAGTTCTTAATTAATATTATTTTAAAAATTAATCTTTTTATAATACTTTTAAAGCTTAATTAATTAATTTTTTACTCTTTTAAACTTTAAATTTATATTAATTTTATTTAAATCTAAAATTAATTAATTTTTATTAATTAAACTTAATATAGTTATAACTTAGAGAAATATTAATTAAGATATCTAACTTAATAATAAACTTATAACTTAATAAAATTATAATTTTTAATTACTTTTTAAACTTTTATTATTAAATAACTTTTTATATAAAAAACTTTTATAATTAGTAATTTAACTATTAAATAGAGCAAATTAAAGTAATTAAAATAATATAAAGTCTAACTATAAAAGTTAATTAGTTAGTAAAATATAAAAAAATAAAGTTATTATATATAAAAGAAATAAATAAATAGAAGGGACTTAATTAAAATTAAGTCTTAAGATATTATCCCTAAATTAAAACTTATTATTAGTTATAAGTAGTTTAAATAAACCTAATATTCTAATAAAGTTATAATATTTTTCTACTATTAGTAGTTTAATAAAGCTATTAGTAACTATTTTATAGGTTAGAATATAGTTAATCTTAAAATCCTTATTATTAATATTATTAATAATCTAATAATATTTAATCTTAATATAGTATAGTTTAAGTAACTATTTACTTAATAAATAATTATTAAAAGTATTTATAAAATCTATATATACCTAGAGGGGTAATTAAATAGAGATATTTATCCTTTTAAAGAGATCTATAATATATAGTAGAGCTTTCCCTCTAAGTATTAGATTTATCTATTTAGTTTTATAAGTTAATATAGCTATAAATAATTATAGTATTAATTTTTAAGTAATTAGTACTCCTCTATATATAACTATATAACTAGCTATTAATTTATTTATTTTTTTATAATTAAACTAATTAGTATTATAAAATATTAATAATTTAAAGTTATTAATAAAGTATTTTAGACTATTAAAATAAAGTACTAGTTATTATAAACTATAGAGATATCTCTATATTAATTTTAGTAGTTTATTATACTTTTTAGAAATATATTATTAATCTCTAGTAGCTCTACTTATAAATATTATAATATCTAGCTATATATTATTTATAATCTATTATAACTTACCTAAATTACTTTAATATTTATATATCTTAGTAGGCGTTTTATATTATTCTATAATCTCTAATAGCTAAGTATTACTAGAGTAATAAAATATTTAGTTATATTTAATAATACCCTTCTCTATTAGTATATTATTAATATACTTAGTTTATAAGATCTAAAATTATCTTATTTTATAATAATAAATAATCTTAAACCTAAGGAATTATTATATCTTATTTAAATCTTTAATCTAGAAAAAGTTATATAAGTTATCTTTAAAGTTATTAACTTACTTAATATTAAGTACTATAATAAGTATATTATTAATATAAAGTAATACTATAACGCTATTTTTATTAATAAGAATATAAAGTTCTTTTAGTAGTAAATAGAACCCTAATTATTTAAGGATAGTAATAATTTATTTATACTAAAAAAGAAAAGATTCTCTTAGTTTATAAAGAGCTCTTTTTAATCTATAGAACTAGCTAGATTTATTATTAAACCTATAAAGTTAAGTAATAAAAATATCTTAATCTCTTATAAAGGTATTTAAAAAGGCTATAACTATATTAACTTAGTGAAGTTTTAAATCTTTAAATATTATAATTAGTAAAAAGACTTATAGAGTAATAAGATTAGTAATAATAATATAAACTATCTTATTATTTTTATTTTAAAAATTACTATAAATAACTTATCTTACTTTAACTCTATTAAGTCTTCTATCTATAGTAACCTTCTTATTATATACCTATTTACTTAGAAAATATTTAAAGCTATTTAGAAGCTTTTTAAGCTATTAGTAATCTATCCTTTATAAGCTATTAACTTAAGTCTTTATAATATTAAAGATAGCTAACTTTAGAGGTCCTTTTTTTATTACCTCTTATTTCTTAAAAGTTATAAATAAGTAAATCTCTAAGTTAAAAGTTTATAATAAGTTAGATACTAAGAAAGTAAAAATAACTAATTCTTAGTTTATTTTATTATTAATTAAGTTAATTTTTATAGCTTTTATTTTACTAAATTCCCTATTAAACTTCTTTATATTATATAATATTTAGGTTCTAAGTATCTAAGTTATTTAACTAGAAGAAGAAGTAGTTACTCTTAGTAATTTTATAAGAGTAGAACTTCTATTACTACTTTTTAGTCTTCCCTTTAGTTTTCTTTATATTAAGAGAGGAGTTTAAAGTAAAATATTAAGAGAGCTTTATTATTATAAAATATTAACTAGTAATTATTATCTCTAAAAAGTAGCTAGAGATCTTTATTTTAAAGGAGTAGTAAGAGAATATTACCTTAGAGGAGTAGTAGGAGAATATTACTATAAAGAAGAAACTTCTTTTAGTATTAATTATATTTATATATTTATAATACTAATATTTAGTATTAGTAAGTATAATTTTAGATCTAAAGTTAGTAAACTACTTTCTTTATTACTAACTTCTTTTTATTCTTAAAGAAACTTATCTTTCTATTTTTATTTATTATTACCTTTTAAATCTTAAGCTTCTTTTAAGTATAAATT